ATTTATTTATTTATTTATTTATTTATTTATTATTTTGGGAGAGATACAGTGCACAAGCAGGGGGCTCAAACTCACAAACCGTGAGATCATGACCTGAGTCGACTAAGCCACCCAGGTGCCCCAAGAATGATCTTCTTAAAGTGTTAAAAGTCAACATTAATGCCACCTTAATTTTTAGACATTATCCTGTATATTTGTAGCAATATCACAATTTTATGAAAGAGTAGCTATTGGAATAATTTTAGATGAAGTATTAGGAATTAGAATTTGAATTCCTCAAATGAATATTTTGATGAAAGTATATTTAAGCATTTTGTTTATGCTATGTGTACTTCGTATTTGAAAGAATTTGGATTATTACTTTAAAAAGACCAATGCAGTCGGGGCGCCTGGTTGGTTCAGTAGGCGGAGTGTCTGACTTAGGCTCAGGTCACAATCTCATGGTTTGTGAGTTTGAGCACCACCCCCCCCACCCCAGTCTCTGTACTGACAGCTCTGAGCCTGGAGCCTGCTTCAGATTCTGTGCCTCCCTCACTCTCTGCCCCTCCCTCGTTCGTGCTCTGTCTCTCTCTCAAAAATAAATAAACATAAATTTTTTTTTTTTTTTAATCTCCAAATACGAATGCCAAGGGTCCACCCCAGACTATTTAAATTAGAAGTTTGGAGATGGGACCTTGGTCATAGGTATTTTTTAAAAGGGCATCAGTTGACTCCAGTTAGGGTTAATAACAGTTGTAGTAAAACAGTAAGACTTCATGTTTATTCATCTTGATATTTAATTTATAAACTTTATTTAATTTAGATTATTATTTTCTTCTTCTTATGAGGAAAAACTGTAATTTTGAATGACTTCATACTGTTTTATGGCAATACTGTGTTTTCATTGGAATCATCAGAGTGAACTGGTGTTTTTCCCTCTTCTCTTTGTTAAGATTCATGAAACCGGAGACATCGTCATTTCAAATGCGTATGTGGATCTTGTGCCAGCATCTGGTATTTCAGCTAAGACATCCTCTGCGGTAGGTCGTAGAAACTGGTATCCCAGTCATTTCCTGAGTTATGCATTTCAGTTAACATTACTTCTAGTGTTCAGGCTGCTTTAGAAAATTAAGAGCTCTGAAAGATTCTTATTCTTGAAGGATAATAATTCAAAACTGTGAAAGTAAAAGGAATACTTTGACAACTTTGAAATTTTTAAAACTTTGTAAAGGGAGACGCTGGGGTGGCTTTCAAGAGAAAATACTTAATATTTTAGTTTTAGAGTAACTGAATCAGTTGTTTCTTTTTTAAAAAAACTTTTTTTTTTATGTTTATTTATTTTTGAGACAGAGAGACAGAGCATGAACGGGGGAGGGGCAGAGAGAGAGGGAGACACAGAATCGGAAGCAGGCTCCAGGCTCTGAGCCATCAGCTCAGAGCCCGACACGGGGCTCGAACTCACGGACCGCGAGATCATGACCTGAGCCGAAGTCGGCCGCTTAACCGACTGAGCCACCCAGGCGCCCCTGAATCACTTTTTTCGTTGGAAATTTTAAGCTAACAATATTTTGGGGAAAAGCACATGAAAAAGTTAAATATCCTGTACCTCTTCTTGATTTAAAGATCTGTTTAAAGCTTTGTATGCAAGTATGAAAACAATAGCATGTATTATTTATTAAAATATTTGTGTTACTCGATTAACGTGCTGAGGCTTTTAATGCAAATGTTTCTATTCTTGGTCTTCAAAATATTAACTTTGTAATCTGAGGTTCTCAGACACAGGATCTTTAATTGTCTCTTATGAGCTGTGTCATCCCATAAATGACTGAAGATTAAAGTCCCTTAAGAAGAATCTAAGATCAAAAACTTTAGAAGTGTTAAAGCTCCAAGGAAAATCAGGCTTCATATAACTTAATCTCATTTTACAAAGCAAGGGATGAGACTGCAGAGGTTAGACTGATTTGTCCAGTGTCTTCCTACTGAAGTTAGTTAGGACGTAGGTTGTTGAGTGTGCTTTTCAAATACTACTTCTGAATTCTGATAAAAGTAAAATCCTCATTAAGAGGACTGAGGTCCTGGGTGACATGAATGAATGTAAGGAAAGAGTAAAAGAAGGCTGGTGTGCAAAAAACTAATTTGCCTTATTTTCATGCAGATTAAAAAAAATCACTTTATTGCACATACGTTTTGTAATCATTTCTCCCCTTGTGTCATTTTACAAACTTTTAAAATTAAATTTTCTCCTTTTGCCAGCGTGAGGAGCTTCAGAGTACCCTGGTGTTTGAGGAAATAGGTCGCCGCCTTGGGGATATCGGGCGTGAGGTGGTGAAGAAAGTGGATGCTGTATTTGAGTGGCACATCACTAAAGATGGAAACACTGCAGCCAAGTGGAGTAAGTCCTATCCCTGACCTTATCCTGTTCTAAGGTAACTCTTAGTACATAGAGGTAAAGTGTCCTTGTTATAATTAGAGCCTGTGTCTTTGAAGGTAGGTGAACCCTACCTTTTCATGGGACATAACACGTTTTAGGGCGCTGAACCCATGTGTGTTTTTCAGAGGTGTAAAGAATCCGTGAAAATGAAAATAATCTGTTTTTAAAGATTTCATTGTATATAACTGAAATTAGTACTTTTAAACAGTCTTGTTAGCTATGTGCTTCTTTTGTCTTTAAATTCCCCTTCAACAGAAAGCAGATTTATAGTTCAAATGAAATATTTTTAAGTCTTTATATTTTGACACGTTTAAAACTGTTTTCCTCATCCCAAAACATTACTAATTTGGATTTCACCTTAATTCTCAGATTGCTGTTTAGGACTGACTTTGTGAGTGCCTTGAAAATCAGTTTGTTTTATTCTTCCCTACAACTAAACATCGCTATAAATGCTCACTTAGAGCAGAAAATTAAAATATATCTCTAAAGCAACTGAAACTTTTTGAAATAGTCTCCTGTTATGTATTCCTAGAAGAACGTTTAGAAGTTTTGTTAAACTGATTTTGGATCAATATTAACAACCTTCTTTGTAATGTAGCAACTGTTGTTCCTTTTAAGCAGTGTATGCTTATGACATATAGTTTGATCTATAAAGGCATAAAGAAGAATATAAGGATGTATATAGTGCCACCACCCTCAGTTAACATTTTGATGTTTGTTCTTCTGGGACTCACTGGGCTTCTAGGAAGTTAATTCAGAAGGGCACTGGGGGGATAAAGGAAGGCAAACATGTGATAGGTATTTAGTCCCCCAAATTTCAAAGTGTCTAATTTTTGTCTAAATAACTTCGTAGATCAACACTGTGTGTGCAGGTGTTATCACACCCTTCCCGTTGTCTATCTTTCCATGATGGAATTCAGCTTTTTCCCTAGGGAGGAACGTCTGTTAGAAGTTGAATTACAGCACAGGATCTTTGAAGATACTGGTAGAGGAGAGGAATGAGATCTGTAAATAGTGAGAGAAGGTGCTGGAACCATGGGTCCCAAAGTTGGCACCCTCGAACCCTGCAGGGATGTGTAATGTAGACAAGAGCTTCACTCTCGGCAAACTAGTGTTAGTAACTCAGATTTGCCCCTTGTCTTGTTGGTACTTTCCTCGTAGACAGTGTTAGCAAATGTGCTTCCCTTTACACATGACCTTTAATTAACTCAGGAGAAGGGTTTTTCCTGACAGTCCCACTGGTGGAAAAATGGGAATATTGGAATCCTGTTAATAACTACTTACTATTGATGCCCAGTAGCTTTTTGCTTGCCTTCTCATCTTGAGCAGTCCTTAGTAAAGCTTTCCCTGAAAGGGTTCACTGTTCCCTTTGGTCGGCCACCTATTATTGGACCTGATTCTCAGCTGTGTTGTAACTGTTTCCACTTCTGGTTGTTGCTTTCCCAGTCTCTGTGTCACTGACTATGTCACCGTCGCTGGCGGCAGTAGAAGCTGTCTAGGCCTCTGGGCTTATGGTATCTTAGAAAATGATTCCGTGTTGGCATCTGTCGTCTTCATCTTGGCGCTTAATGCCACGAAATGGATGGTTGAATGCCTTGATTTAGGGAGTCCTTATTTTTTTTTTTTTTT